TGCTGCTGTCACTGGCACTTCTCTCGACTAGGCGACTCTAATAACGTGATTTGCCTGTGATTGCCTGCCTCTGGAGAGATGTGTGCTGCTTCTCTCTGACTGTGTCTTTTCTCCTTTTTCTCGAGAGATCCTTAGTCAGTTTTGGGTAGTAGTGGTAGTAGTGGCAGGTTTTCACTGTCGTCTGCACACTGTTCAGCTCATCAAATGGATCATTGATTGGATTGATGGTCGCCAGTGATTCTCTTCCTTTGACCAGCCTCTCTCATTAAGAATCAGCCGAATTCTGCTGCTGTCAGACTGTTGTGACAGTTTCTTTCTCTCTGATTTGGACAGTCTCTGACTGTCTCTCTCTCTCTCTGTCGATGATTCATTGACATCTGCTACCACCTTAGTGTCTGGTACTGTGTGTTCCAAACGGACGGCGGAGAGTTGTCAGTTGTCGAACACGGAATTGGTTTTAGGGCAGAATCTGTCCAAGAGTAGCAGTGTCTGCCTTCCTTTCTCTCGCTCATTACTCACTTATTGCCCACTAATTAGGTTGAAAGGACACAGTGCAGTTCTAGAACAGAAAGAAACATTGTGACTGAGAAGCAAAGAAGAAAAAGTATTGAGCCTTTTGGTGAAGAAGGTTTAATGAAAGCAGAAAGAGTGAATTGCCGATTGGCTAATCGGCTAACGTTGTTGTTGTGTTTGTGTTCTCTTTTCGCCATTTCACTCTTGCTATTCTACTCATTACCACTTCAATGACAATTGGGCTTATCAGTGTGTGTCTGGTAATTGCCTCTTCTCTCTTTCTCTTTTTGGGTTTTTATGGCCCAATCTTTGATTTGGTCTGTGTGTGTTTATTGTTCTGTTGTGTTTTACCAATGATCATCTTTGTGTCCAGTGTGTGTTTGGTGCATCGATGTGCCGCCAATTACCCCTGCTGAAAGTATTGGCCTGGTACAACTGAATGGCCGGGTTGTTGTTGATAGTATTGCTCACTCTCTTTTTAGCTTTTTACTGCTGCCCTTTTGAGTTTTGGTGGTGGTGGCTAGGGAGTCTCTTGTTATTCCCTGCAACTACTTTGCCCTGCCTGCCCTTTCGGAAAGCACCGATTTGTTTTTTCCGAGGACTGTCTGCTGAACCTGAGCCCCATGTTTCTCCTAGCATTTCCTCCTCCCTGCTAGCTAAAGCACTCACCGGGGAATCAGTGTGTTCAAACGAACGAGCGAACGACCACTGCCGTTGTCAATTTAAATGGGTTTCATCCAATGTACGATGCCTGTCTGCTTGGTGAATTTGAATTTGGATCGGTACTTGTCTGTGTGTGTGTGTTTTGCAGGTCCCGACAGTAGCGAACTCTCTCTGCCCTCCGTTTTCTCCCTTCCGCAAATCTAATTTGTCTTCTTTTCCTCTTTCTCCTTCTCTCCTCCACAGTGCGACGTAACCTATGTCGCCGGAAAGTGCCCCTCTCTAACCTATGTGCAATTACAAATCATCGGTAAGTGGAAACCGTTTTCCCCTTCTTGAATCGGTTAATTTTCATTTACCCTTTTTCTCATTTTTTCCTTAGCCAAACCGACCCGATCGTGGATCGAGCACGAGGGCGACCAGCTGGCAAGCGGCCAGCGCCTCTCCCTCACCGAGGGCGACCTCCTCAAGCTTGCCTGCTCAGTGCTGGGCGGCAAGCCGGCGCCGGTGATCACCTGGCGAGCGGTGGACGGTCGCGGCCGAGCCACCACACTTCCCGCTACCAAGAAGACATTGTCAAATTCTGACCTCGGTTTCAGCCTGGCGAATGACGTGACCGAGACGGCCGCCGACGGCACCTCCACCACGACCGTCGTCCTCAGCAAGCGCCTCAGCCGGGAGGACCTGGCCAGCTCCATTGAGTGTCACGTCGAGCATGAGGCGGTGAAAGCGGGGGCGCTCGACTCGAGGGTCGCCCTCGATGTCAATGGTAAGTGTGGGGATTTGCTGTTTTGGTGTAGTGTTCGGTGACTTGAGTGGATTAGCTGGTGAATCACCACCGGGACAAGTTGCTAACTTTTCTTCTCTCCCTGTTTTCCCCCCTCTTCACAGTGGGCATCAAGACAATGGAGATCATCGGCCCCAGTACCTCGGTACGTGAGGGCGACGTTGCTGTGATTGAATGCGTGGCTTATGGCAGCAAGCCGGCGGCGGAGATTGTCTGGCGCAACGGGTGAGTAGTAGTGGTAGGAAGGAGGGAGCTTGATTGAACTTGCCTTCTTTCTGTTCTGTTCAATCGATCGATCGATGTGTAGCTAACACAACATAACATAACATTTTTCCCCTCATCTCAGCTCGAAGATAATTGATGACCGGTCGCTGCGCAGCACCGAGGAGCAGCCCAACGTGGACGGCATCACGGTGAACACGCGCTCGAAGCTGCGCATTGTCGTCTCCCACCAGGACCACCTGAAGCCGATCACCTGTGAGGCGGCCAACGTGGCCATGCGCACGCCCATCAATAAATCAACCGAGATTTCGGTCCTCTGTAAGTCTTTTTGTTGTGCTCGCATTCTTTGCGTTCCTGAGCTCTTTTGATTGCTATTTATTGCTTTTTGGAACCTGTTTGGTCTTTATTTAATTTTGTCAACCTTTTCCTTTCCCCTTTTCTCCCTTTCTTTTCAGTCGCCCCCATCGTGGTGATGGAGCCCCGTGCCGGCCTGGTGGTCAACGAGTCGGAGCCGATGGTCAGCATCTACTGCACCTACACGGCCAACCCAGCCGGCCTGCTCGAAAACGAGACCGTCTGGTTCAAGGACGGCCGCGTTCTGGACACCTCCACTGGAGTGCCCGGCCACTTCAGCACCAGCGTCGCCAGCTACCCCATTCTGACGATACGGAATGTGGGCCGGGCGGACAGCGGCCACTACTACTGCTCGACGGCCAACCAGCTGGGCGCCGGAGTGCCCGACTCGGCTGTCTTCCTCAACGTCCTCTACGCGCCCACCGCCCGGCTGACGGTGGTCCCGGACCCTTCCGGCTCGGTGGACCCGAACCTCATCAAGGAGGGCATTGAGCTGCGCATGGTCTGCGAGGTGGTGGAGGGCAACCCGCGGAATGCGACGCGGATGCGATGGCTGAAGGACGGGGCGCTGATGAGCGAGCTGGAGGGCGAGACGGCGGAGCGGGCGAAGACGCTGACGCAGAATGGGATCACACGGGAGCTGACGGGGAACTACAGCTGCGTGGCTGTCAGTGAGGCGGGCGCCAGTCGGCCGAGCAACAGCGTGCCGGTGGTGGTCCGGTACCCGCCCGGCAAGGCGCTGGTCCGCCTCCTCAACGAGCCCTATCCCGTCAAGGGCGAGAACCTCAGCCTGGAGTGCATCGTGGGGGACCGGGGCAGGCCCAGCGAGGCGACCGAGTACCACTGGGTCAACGCCGACGGGCAGACCTTTGAGAGTCGCGGACCGGTGCTGCGGATCAACGGGCTGCGGCTGGTCAATCGGGGAAACATTAGCTGTGCCGCCGTCAACGAGGTCGGCTTTGGGCCGGCCGGTGTCTTTGAGCTGATTCCCTATGCGCCGCCGAGGTTCATCAATCCACTGCCGGCGACGATTGGGGTGAATGAGAATTTGGAGAAGAATGGCCAAGGTGGAGGTACTTCAGCAGCGGAAAGTCAGCGAAGTCAGTCGACCGATGAGGAGCACTACCGCTACGATGTCTTGCCGCCGGAAGGTCCTGAAGGGGTTTCAAATGGACCTCACAAAAACGGCGGAAAATCCTCCTCCTCGACGATGTCCGTCTACTGCCGCGTGGAGTGCTACCCTCTCTGCAGCATCACCTGGTACCGGAATGAAGTGCCGGTGGAGAACGGCACCGACGGCCACCTGGTGGTGACCACCGTCCAGCCGGAGGAGTTCCTCCTCAACCGCTTTCCCAGCGTCCTCTCCACGCTCACCTGGAACATTACCGCCTCTTCGGGATCATCTTCAAGTGGAAATAGTGGGCGTCATTTGGACCGCGTCCGCGACAGCGGCACCATCTACAGCTGCGTCTCCAGCGAGAACATGGTGGGGCCGTCGGTGCGCTCGGACACTCGCTTTCAAGTCGAATGTAAGTGCAAACCTCTTTCTTTCTTTTTCCTTTTTTAGCTTAGGTTTAGGCTTCTATTTTTTGCTGTGTTTTATTGTTCAGTGAGAGTTTCCAAGTGGTGGAATTGGACGAGGAGAGTTTAGGTTCTTTGTGTTTGTGCGATAATTGCGTCCGTTTGCTCTGTGTGTGCTCCGAGTGAATGTGAATGTGAGTGTATTCATTCTCTGCTGGCTTTTTATTTTTATTATCGCTTCCTTCTTTTTTCTTTCTCTAGGAAGCGAGCTTTTGTTTTCTTTTTATTTCCTCCTTTTGGAGCGTACTTTTATTTCTGTGCTGCTTTAAAGCGCACCAGAGTTTTTGTTTTCAGTTCGGAATAGTGCAGTTTTTAGTAGGATTCACTGCTGATTCGTGCCTACTGCTGGCACTGCTGCTATTGCCGCTCTAACGGCATCTCTTTCTTTAGTTGGTTTCTTTCTTTCTCCTTCTTTTTTGCGCTAATTAAGCGAATGGCGGTAGTGAAAGTGAAAGCTAGAGAACTGCTCGAGAACTGCTCGAGAATGGTGGCGAACAAGACGGCGGCGGCGGCTCAAATCGACACTTTGCTTTCAATTTGCCCCATTAATGATGCTGCTGCTGCACTTGCAATTGCTGTGCAGGGCTGCCCACTGACTCGCTCTCTTTGTTGCACTTTTTGGCCGTTGTCCATCGATGAATCGTGTGAGACTGTGTGTGTGTGTTCACTTTTTTCCCTGGCTCAGCTACTAGAGAACTGCTGGCAAAAAAGGAAGAAAAATTAAATTTAATGACAGCTGCTTGTGCGCTTTTATTCGTTTTATAGTTTGCTATTATCCTCTTGCAACTTGTACTTGTACACTACTTCCCAACCGAGTTGGTGGTGGTGGAAATTAATTTTCTGCCGGTGATTTGCTGGTTGCTGGTTGCCTGTTTTCTGCTACCAAAAAGTCGACTGCCACCACTACTACTTTCACTGCTGTAATTGGGAGGCGGCTGTGAAGATAAATATTGATACTCTTTCTGCTGCTGGAGGAAAATGGCCATCTCCAACTTCTCATTTTTCGATTCGGTGTTTGGCTTAATCGCGCCTGGTGCCTCTCTTTCTCTCTCGCACAATGACGAGCCCATTGACGGGCCGTGTTCACTTTCTTTCTCCCCTTCCCCTTCTCGTTTGTCCTTAATGAGAATTGCTGCTGCTGCCATTGCTGCTGATGGCGTTCATTTTAAAGTGACCCTCTCTCTTTTCTGCAGTACATCTCTCAATACTTGTCTCTTTAGTATGAGATGTGTGTGCTTGTACTCGTAGAATCTTCTTCCTCTTCTTCCTCCTCCTCTTTTCAATTAGAGATGGAAGAGATGGAGAATCACCGATTGCGTGTGGTGATAGTGGTCGCTGCCACCGCCACCATATCTATCGGTTGTCAGTCATTCTTTCTTTCAGTCTTTTATGGAGCCAAGTTTTAGTCACTGAGTGCTGCCAGCGGCAAATGGAGCTGTTGGGTTGGGTTGTTGCTGCTTTTTCTGCTCAGAATCGGCGGAAGGAAAGACGAACACGCTCGGAGGGACGAGGAGATGGCCATCGCCATCATCATCATCATTATCTGGTCTGTGGGCACAAGGCTAGTGCACTGTGTTCTCTTTTTCCTTCTTTGAGAGAGGCCAACCAGAGCAATCCAAAGCTCTATTCTCTAGTCGTCGTTTTTGTTGTCGCTGACTCTAGAAGAATCGTGGTGGTGAATGCACCCAAAAGTCAGCAGATTCTTTCTCGCTTTCGCTCGCTTTTGGTCAGTCAGTGTCCTTTGCTTGTTCTTCTTTTTCGTTTAATTGCTCAAGCTCAGTGCTCGGCTCGGCTGGCAGACTGTTAATTGCAAAGCTTTGCTCTTTTTTCTCTGTCTTGTTCTAATAATAGCAAGTCAGTGTGGCCCCACCACCACTGCCATCACCACCACTGATCCATTATTAACGGCATCTTCTCATCTATCACCCCCTCCCATCCCTCCCTCAATGGTGGTGATCTATTCGCTTTACCAGTCTTCTTTGATGACTCGCAGCAATCGATGCACTGCTAAATGCACGCGATTGGCCTTGTTAGTTAGCTTTTGAGGCAGCCGTCTTCTTCGTTTGCGTGTCTGTTTCTTTTTAGTTGCAAGTTTCTTCTTTAGAGCTGATCTTTTTTGCCGTTTTTGCCTGCTGGCGCCCGACCATGTCGTCGTCGTCGTCGTCGCCGCTTTTTATCGGCCCATAATTGCACTAATCATTGCCGTTTTGCCACTCTCTCTCTCTCTCTCTCTCTCTTTCCCGTCTAATGACCCTGCTCTGCCATAGTCACTGGCTACTGTCACCACCACCACTAGCACCAGTGTCTTGCCTGAATGCAAATCGGGTGCTGCTGCTGGTGGCGCCCAGAGAGATCATAACGCGTAATTTAACGACGCTGCGCGCGCTGACAGGCGGCAACAGCGACTGTGTGACTGACTGACTGGCTGGCTCCTCACACTGTGCTGTGTGCCCGATTAATTGTCGATAGTAGCAGACTGCTGCTGCTGCTGGGCGCGATTCAAAAGCGTTTAATGCCTTTTTGATTGCCATTGACTTGGCTGCTCTGTGCCCATTCTTCTTTGGTTGCTATTTACCCCGCTCGTAATGTACTGGAATAATGTTTAATTATTAGAGTGCTGCTGCTGCTGCTATGTGTGTGGGCTGATGCTTAAAACGATGATGGGATGGAATGGCAGTAGTGTAGTGATGAGGACAACAACAACGGGCCCAATTGACTGTGAGAATGGGCGAGGGGATGATAGGCAGTCGCTCGATTTGCTTTGCAGGCACTTTCTTCTCCTTGCTCACCGACAATCGTCGGCATTCATCATCATACCAACAGAGAGTGCAGATTCTTTTGGTTCGATTTTGAAGGAGGAGAGTGAGACCATTTTATTTTCTCCTTTTCAGCTTCGATCGACCACCAGAGATGGCCAGCAGCGGCAGCAGGGAGATGATGGTCTTGGTGGTGGTGATCATTTAGACGATGATGTTGCCAGTAGTATAAACTTCAAGCGGCTCATCATTAGCTGAATTGCAGCAGCAGCAGTGGTAACATCATCAGCTGAGAGAATTGAAATTAGATTACTTTAATTTATTATCTCAGTGGCAGTGTGACACACAATAGCCAACTAGACTTGTCGCGCTGCTGTGTATTTTTAGCGTTTGTCATCGAGCTCTGAGCCCTTGGGTTCTGCTGATTGAGAGGCAGTGATAAGAGAGAACGAGGACATGGACTTTTGCTGCTGCTGGTGATGTGCCACCGCTGATAGGCCACACCATAGTGGTAATGTGTGTGTGTCTTTTTTGCTGTAATGGTCGAAAAGGAGCTCCTCCGCCGCTTGAGGCCCAATTTCGATTAGTCGGCCTGTCTGTCTGCTTGTCTGCCTGGTTCTCTCTCTCCTTTGACCGACATATCACGACGGTGTAGTGTGTGTTGTTTGCCTAGGTAATGATGTTCTCCTCTTGTTCTTTGGGCTCTTTGGGCTCTTCTTTGTTTGATTTGCCATTATCGGCAGCGAATCTGTCCTCTTTCCTTTCTCTCCTACTCTTCCGCCTCTGCTGCTACTCTGTTTAACGTGTCTCGTCTCATAATTTAATAAATGGCCACAAGGCTGCTGAGGATGAGGGAAAGGGGAAAAGGAAAGGGGTCCTACTACCACTACTACCACTTTACAGTCGATGAATGGTGGGAGCGAGAGAGTTTAAGTGAATGAGTGTGTGTGATTGTACAGGGTAGATTGTATTTGCATCACACAGGAGCCCTAGTGCCTGCCTGCCTAGATTGGTGATTGAGAAGATAGAGCGGTGCTGGTGGTGGCGGAAGAGATTGATCGTCAAGACAAAAACGCACACACAGAGTTGCCACTCACTCTACGCTTTACGGCACTGCATTTTCACCACGGCGATGGAAAACGTACTGCCTGAATGAAAGCGGATCAGCTCTGCTGCTGTTGCTGTACATTAGCGTGCACTGTACGGTGCAGTGTGGTAGTTGTGAAAGGATGTGTGTGTTTGCAAAGTGAACTTACTGCCTGTGTGTTTTAGAGTTGCGATGCTCAATTGTCACTAATCTCTAATTGAGCTCTGCTACCACCACCACTGCATTTGCATTTGCAATTGCACACCCTGCTCACCACACATCACTGCAATCAGCTCTGTTGTACACACACATTCACAACTTGCACTGGCTATGTGTTTGTACAATTTCACTGTTCGGTGAGCATTGTCGTTTGCTGGTGGTGGTAGTGCCGCAATCACTGTGGTTTCTCTTTTTTCTTTTTCCTCTCTGTGTGTTTGTGTGTACAGCAGCAGTTGTAGCCTGCAAAGCTAATTGGCAGGCAGATGGGTTTTCTGTTGAATTTGGTGAGTTTGTGTGTTCTATCTCTCTTTTTCTGTTCTCTACTTTGGCCAGCAGTCCCGATCACAGTCGATCAGTTTGCCGCTGCTGCATGCATCATCGACGGTGGCTAAATTTCTTTTCTCCTATTCTTTTCCTTTTTTCTCGGTCTGACAGGTAATAACTTTTCCATTAGATTCATAGACGCGTTTGGGTGCACATTCTTTCAGTGTCGCTTCTGCTTCTTATTCGGTATTCTTTCTTTTCCTCTTTCCATCATCTTCTGTCGATTTCGTCAATTTTTTTTCTTTGCTTGGCAGTAGTAGATTCACAGCGTTGTGTTCCGTAATGACTCAATAATAGCTTATTGATTGACTGTCCTATCGATTGGAGGAAGTGCTGGTGGTGGTTTTGATTTGCTTGCCAACTTCTTACTACTACTGTCGCTTTTGAACGGTTTCAGTTTGGACTGGGACTTTTCTTTTCTTTTCCTCATCCTTTTCTTTCTTTTTATTTTTACTGTTTGCCATGCTAATTCACGTGGTGGTGCCCCATTATCGCCCCGCAAATTAGCTTGTACAGAGAAGTTTAAAGTGAAGCTCAAAGTCAAAATGTATTCTTGACTTGA